CTCCGCGCTAGAAAATAAGCCGTTAGTGTACCTTTTTGGAACATCTTTTTTAACCTTGAAGTATCTTGTTTAGAATACCAATGCGTCGGAGGGCAATCACCGCTGATGAAACGGGACAAGCTGGTCACCTGCTCGCTACAACAGGTTAGAGACGCTAGAGAGGGAGAGAGAGAGAGAGAGAGGTGAGAGAGAGAGAGAGAGAGAGAGAGGGAGAGAGAGAGAGAGAGAGTAAGGGGGTGACAGAGAGAGACAGAGAGGGAGAGAGAGAGAGGGCGAGAGAAAGAGAGCTAGAGTGAGAGAAAGAGATAGAGGGGAGAGAGACATAACGAGAGAAAGAGAGAGAGCGAGGGAGCGAGAGAGAGGGGAGAGTGCGAGAGAGACAGGGTGGGAGAAAGAGAGAGAGAGAGAGAGAGAGAGAGAGAGAGAGAGAGAGAGAGAGAGAGAGAGAGATAGCACTTCTGTTTTAGGCCCGGTTCTCGCGCCTCCGAAAGCTTGACAACGACACAGAAATTTCGGAGGGCCCAGTGCCGGAAAATCCGGAAGAAAGCGGCGCCCAACCGGACGGGTACCAAATTATGGACGGTAAGCTGATGCTCCGAGGCTAAATTTAATTCTTTTGGAATACTATAAAAAGTGGTATCACAAGACGTCCAAAAACTAAATTAAACTAACTTTTCAGAACGAGATGTTTCTTTTTTTTTGTAACGAATGCCCAAGAGTTTGCTATCCGCAGTGAAAGTGAGATTAAGCGCCGAAAAATTTTGCAAGATGATTCGAAAAAAAGTGGCAGTGTTTTGGTAAATCATATCCTCGCTAAAATGGTTAATTAAACGCCTGTTGTCTGCACTACTATGATTATCACTAATTATCGATGGCATTGTTTAGAATGGCGCTTTTCCATTATCCGGAGTCGTCCGAATTTTTTTTTGTATAAGCCCAGAAATGATTATTAAAGTAATGTCAAGTATTTTAATCGTTTTTGCAAAATTAACGACATTTACAATGCAACAAGTGCCTGAAAATTGTTTTGTAACGTTTCTACGGCAAGAATCGTAAAAAAACAAGCTAGAAACCGTATCGCTATTTATACTAGAAAAATTGGGTAGGGAATCCAAGAGAACTCTGAGTCCGCGATTGCAACAGAATTGAAGGAATATACTTTTTTTAAATTCAAAACGACTTTGAAACATTAAAATTGTTTACCAAGCCGACAAAGTCTTTGAAGACATGATTTTTTTTTGTAGATGATGATTTAAAAATGACATCAAAAATTCAAGATAGAAATTTTTGTTCCAACCACCCCACAACTTTTGAAGATTGTGTTTCAATCAGAATTAAGAATACTAGATTTATCATCATTTTAATGCAAGTTGCTAAACAAGTTACGCGTTTCTTGATCGAAGAATCCGCGTTTTTGTAGTTTTTACAAAAGCCAGGATCGACAAACCGCTTCGTGGCTTTGCAAAAGGATTTAATTTTTCTGATTAAATTGAGAAATTCAAGTTTAGTTTATCTGATTTGAATTTTTGAAATTTTTGAAAACATGCCTTACATCAAAAATTCAAAAGATATGAGTGATTTATTTCCTACGCCAAAACCTTGGAAAAATGTGTTTCATTGAAAATTCAAAGGTAAAAATGTGGAAAACTTTAATCCTGTACGCCTCCGGATGTCCTAAATTTCCTTGCTTTTTCCAGTAACCGCTAGCCCCGCTGGAGCGAATTCTACGCAATTCGCTGACATCCAAGACACCTGCGATTTTGGGCATTATTGCGTGGCTGTTTTTGACGATCCGCAAAAGCCCGGGTATTATCAGGTGGGCTACAAACTACAAGAAATTATAAAAACTATCAAGCAGAGCGGTTAGACCAAAAAATGTCGGTTTTCAATTATTTTTAGCCCAAAAATGATTGAATTTCTCATAACGAAACCATCTTAATCTTTTTTTTCATTCATCAGAAAATTAATAGGTTTTAATAAGCCAATAAGAATGTGTTGTAAAAAAGGTCATGTATTTCCCGAAAACCCCAGATTTTTAGGGATTCTGCTGCCCGAATCCGACGCCCCGCGAGCCGGTCTGCCCCGTTGGTGAGCCCCACTCTAGCAGCCAGGTAATTTTCCGCACATGGTCTCTGCTAGCCTGCCCCTCGCCCCCTCTCTCATCCCAAATGATCTCTGCTAGCCTGCCCCCTCCCCCTCTCTCTCATCCCAAATGATCTCTGCTAGCCTGCCCCCCTCCCCCTCTCTCTCATCCCAAATGATCTCTGCTAGCCTGCCCCCTCCCCTCTCTCTCTCATCCCAAATGATCTCTGCTAGCCTGCCCCCTCCCCCTCTCTCTCATCCCAAATGATCTCTGCTAGCCTGCCTCGATTCTCGAAACTGCCAAATTCTATGTTCCACAAAATCGTGATTTGAAGCGACGGACAAAATCAATAATCATCGATTGATGATAAGATGATATGCATATCCCTCGTCGAAAAATCTTTCCGCAGGGGCTCGCTGCTAGCCCACTAGTAAATTTCTCAGATTTTTTTGCTCATATTTCAAAACGAAATTTTTAAAATGTTTTGCAAATTGTTTCGGCTCACGGAACTATTAAAATAAAAATGTTTCATAATGCTTGGGATGCAAGAGAATTCAGAAACGTACATTTATACGCTTCGATTCACCTTTGAATTTTTGCAAATAATCTCTGCTAGCCTGCCCTTTAAATCACTAGCATCTTTATTGCTTATGGTGTTCAAAAGCCCCTATTATAAAAACTTTACAAAATTTTCCAAACAGATTCCTTAAAATGGAAATGTTGCATAAAATAGGGAATGCGCGACCTTTCAGAAACCGCCAATCCTTCGAGAAAGACGCGTTTTTTAATTCTAGATTTTCCCAAATAATCTCTGCTAGCCTGCCCTCGATTTCAAGCAATCTTTTTAAAATTGGGGCGCCAAAATTTGCCATTAAATGTTTCAAAAAGCAAACTAGTATCGTTGCGGGAAAATTGCCTAATCCTGTTTTTTGGTATTTCCGCAATCTCCCTCCAGATCCTTTTAAAAATGACTAAAAAAGTATTACGAACGTACAAAAAAATGTTTAAAAAAATTCCAGATGCCCTCCTACGGCTGCGCCGGGTGCCCGGACGACCACTACTGCCATCGGGATACGGTATCCACCGAAAAAGAGGTAGATTTTTTATTTTTAAAAATTCCTCAAGTGATCTCTGCTAGCCTGCCTTGATATTAAAATTTTAGGCAGCTTTTAAAGGAGCGGGTAAGGCCAAATTCGGAAAGAATTTATGGGTCGTTTTAGTGGAAAAGTTGGGATGGTTTGACGTGGACAACAGTACGTCGCTGTGGTCCGCTTTGACATTAATATTTCTTGAAACATGACATTTTTCCAGGTTTCTAGAATTCAACATTTTTGATTCTGTGTTCAGATATCGATGGGGCTTTTTGGCCTAATTCCTCAAATGATCTCTGCTAGCCTGCCGGTGACAGAAAATTCCTGGAAAACAGTTTAAAAACTGTTTCATTCTTTTTAGCCTGGCAGAGGAAAGCAATGGTCGAATTACGCTGCTCGGCCGGGTTTTTACCTTCCTATTTCTTGAAACACCAAATGTTCGCAGGTTTTGCGATATACTGGAATCGAAGGCCTATTTTTAGCTTTTGGCCAGATTTCCCAAAAGTGTCCTGCTCGGCTGCCTCGCAAAAAAAAATTCAGGGAAAATTTGAACTAGTAATGTTTCACTTTTTTAGTACCTAGCAGAGTAGCGCAGTGGACGCTAATTGAAGGTTTCTCTTCTTCTCAAATAACCGCGGAACGGAAAAAACTGCGTATAAATAGCACTTTTTGATATAAAATTGATTAAGCATTTTTTTAGCCAACAAATCAAAGTTTGATTCGAATATCCGTTCTAACCTAAATCAATAAATCGGTTTGAAAGAATTACACGGTTGACTTGACCATTTTTTGGAGATCAACTTGTTCGAAATCGATTTTTTTATCGACTGAAAGCTTATTCAAATTTAAAATTTTTAACGGTTCTCTGCCAGGCTAATTTAGGAGATTTGGATTTGGAAGGCTTTTTAGGACAAAGCAAGAGCTTGGGGGGTTTTTAAAGACTACTGAGCTTTGATGACCCAATTAGCTCGAACTCACTTTT